ATTTCTTCCTCCAATAAGAGTCTTACCTGCTGACATTCACAGAGACCTCAAACTGCTTCCCATTTTATTTTTTGGAAGTCAGTTGCACCAAAGTATGTTCTATACTTACACTGGATGTGAACATTTTGAAACGGTTTATAGTAATATAGTACTTCGTGGGATGCATCTCGTGATATGTGGTCTTAGCCAACCCCGCTATACACACACACATACACACTACACACACACACACACACACACACACACACACACACACACACACACACACACCTTCCATGACCTTCTGCGTCTTTTCTGGGGTCTCTTCTATGTCTGCTAACACAGCAGAGTTGCAGACTTAAGTGGAAGAGCCGAAGTGTCAGGACGGGGTCAAACAGGCGAACCATGCTGTGTCCAGAGAGAAGTATGAAAACAGCAAAGTGTCTAATGAAGTCAAAAGATCCAGGAGAAAGAACCGGTTTGGTTTAAAAAAAAATAGTAATAAAGCTATTTTTAAAAGTCTGAATAAATGTTATTTTAATATTTAATAAATAAAAGTTATCCAAATGTTTGAATAAATGAAAGGACACATATTTTTGAAGAGCTGGTTAGCCTCCTAAGATGCTGTACAAAGGCCATTTTCACTAGAGGTCGAGGAAGATTTACTTCAAATTTTATATCCATGCATTTTAAACAAACTTTAAATGCAACTGATAATGGGGGAAATCAGTGCTTAAGAAAAATGCATGGCTTTGAGTCGTGTGGGCTCAGGATCAAACTCTGAAGTATGAACCTTAATACCCCTTCCCGACTGTACGGTCCCACAGTTCTGCAGTAGGCCCCCACTCACGGCATTTAGCCATTATGAAAATGTGGTACCAGACAAAATGCTCAGTGAGCATTAGGCTTAGATCATATTCTTTAAAGTTGGCCAACGTTCGAAGTGGAGGAAGGCTTTCAGTTCTGAAGAACTGTGGCACTCAGCAGCTGGACTGACAGAGGCTGGAAGGTGGAGAGGAAGAAATCAGGGAGGAAAGCCGCTGGAGGGCTGGGCAGGGCTTCTGGAAAGATGACTCCTCAATACAATACGATGGTGTGTGTGTGTGTGTGTGTGTGTGTGTGTGTGTGTGTGTGTGTGTGTGTAAGAATTTACCAGGCAAGGGCAGCACTTGCTCCTGAGACTTCACATCCGCTGTGACCTGGGTCTAAATATCCCCCCAGAGTTCACGGCCCAATACAACACAGCTCGGGGGTGGGAGCTTCTTGGTGGTCACTAGATCACACAGGCTCTAACGTCATCAATCCAGACTGATGAATTCAAAGTTTACAGGGCTGCTAGGTGGTGGTGGACGCTTTCAGGAGTGGTGTATAGTTAGAGTAAGTTCAGTCACTAGGGTATGTCTTCTCTCTCTCCCTCTGTCTGTCTCTTCCCCCTCCTCTCCTCTTCCTGCTCCCCAGACACCTTGATGTGGGCCACTTTGCTCTAACACAGGCTTCCCTTGAGGTTCCGCCTCCAGACAGTCTTAAAAGCCCTAGGGCCACCTGAGCACAGACTTAAAAACCAACAGCTAGAATACGCCTTTCCTCCATTTACGTTAATTTCTCTTGGGTATTTTGTCACAGTGCTAACCCGTTAATCCTTTGGGGGGATATTTGGGAACTGTCCCTAGTCAAGGCCTCTTAATTAGCATTGCTTTCCAGATACCAAAAAAAAAAAAAAAATCAATTGATTAGTTTGGAAATGCAATTCAGTTTTTGTTGTTTGTTTGTTTAGTTTTTTTTTTTTTTTTCCCGAGACAGGGTTTCTCTGTGTAACTCTAGCTATCCTGAAACTCACTCTGTAAACCAGGCTGTCCTTGAACTCACAGAGATCTGCCTCCCTCTGCCTGTCAAGTTGGGAGATGGTTATCAGAAGAGTAAGTATGCTTTTGTTGTGGACCTTAAACTCTCAATGATGATATTTTTGTTTTTCCTTCATGTCAACCATATGGTAAAATAGTCGCTGTGTAGAATTTCCTCATTCTCTGACTTCTTATTCATGGATTTTTGGGTTAAACAAATGAGTCGTTGAGTCCTGTAATGACTAAGTGTTCCCCATCTTAAAAAACAAAAACAAAAAACAATGGACAGATTTTCTCTTTTTACTAGTGAGAATAATTACCCACAAATCCTGTTATGAGAATTCATTCCTGAAGAATCTATCTGTCCATTGGAGAAAAGAATTACTTTTCACCCTCAATATTGTTCTCAACACTTTTGCCTCAGTAAATTTTGTCCATAAAAGCTTGTCAGTGGTTCTTTCCAGAATCAGCTCCCCCGTGACAGACAGAATAGGCTTGTCCAGTTCCTCTTGATTAACTATCCCTGACATTTTCCTCCAAAGGCAGAATCTTCTTGTGTGACTGGTACATGAACATGTCTTTTAGGTTGACATTATGTGTGGGGGGTTTTATTATTCCTGACATTTTGTATGTTTGACCAACTACCATCTAGTCCCAAGACTACCTGTGAAAAGCACCGCTCCAAAGTACTTCATTAAGTATTAAACATCACATGTAACTTCCTGTAGGAATTTGGGAAGAGGAAATGTTATTCTCACCCAGATCCTACCTGTAACTCCCATTGCCATCCTCGCTGAAGATCAAGAGAGCCATTTCCGCACCCTGTAGAGGAAGCTCTTTTCTCTCAATAAACCTTCCGGCAGTGTGGCGTTGTCCACTTCTCCCCTTTCAGGGTCTGTTAACTGCTCTTGACTCACTGAAAGCTTTCTCGGCTGCCTTTGCCTGCCTGGCCCTCCGTTGTGGAGCAGACGCTCTTTCAGGGCCTCCTCTCCCACTTCAATCAGAACAATGGCCTGCTTACCGGGGTCCTCAGCTCCCTTGGCTGGGTGACAGCTAATTTCTTGCTTTTATCCAGCATAGCACCATAGGAACCCTGTGTTTTTTTTAGCACCCTGGCTCTTGACCACTTTCAGGGGTCCTCAGATGAGCACCTCACATCAGATGCCAACAAAAATGATGCCCAATCCCCAACTCAGTGGAAAGCGCATGGGCACGTAACAATCAGCAGGAATGTTCATGATCAGGACACATCACTCATCAAAAACACTTCATCTATTTCAGATAAACTCACAAGAGCCTAAATGGCGACGGAGATGTGCCCCATCAGGTACTAAAAAGCTCCTCTTAGGAGACTTCAAAAAATAACTTAAAGGTGGATTCGTTTCTTATACTCTATTTCCTGCTGATGCTTTATCTCAAATACACAGTGTCTGATCAATTAATAGAACATCTTCTATAGTGGCACAATTGAAAGATCAGAGGAAGACAAACTCTGTTTCCCTTTTTATTTTGTCCTGCTCATTTTAAGTCCTATGAATGAGACACTATCCCTTCCTGATAAAGAATGGTCAGCATATAATCTTTTAAATTTTTATATAGATTCCAAATATTAAAATGGATAAAGTAATGTTAAATAGTACAAAATGATAGCATATGTTTCGTCTCCTCTTCTAAACGTCGCTAAAACGGACCACTTAAATAGTAGAACCAAAGACAGCTTAACAGGCAAGGTTAGAAAAGCCAAAATCAGAAGAGATGCTGACAAGTTTCTGATGATGAAAACTGGATTGGAGTGCTCGAAATAGACTCAGCAGAGCTGGGGGATGGTTGGGCTACCAGCCCTGAAGAATCCTTATCCAGGAGTGCCTCACCCCTCCTCCCTCCCGCGCCCACTTCCCACCGCCAGTCTTCCCGGAGAGTCAAGGTTGAGTTAGGAAAACTGAACAAAGGAAGCTTAGATGAGGAGTGAGGCCGTAAAGGTCTGCAGAGCTGTGGGGACACTTCCCCTTGGCCTCTTCCTACGACTGGAATCTCCAGCAGGAGGCAGAGGGTTTTCAAACAAAAGCTGAAGAGCCTCAGAAAGAAAGAAAAAAAAGGTCTCAGGATCTGACACTTAAAATTTTCCCAATAGGAAAAGTTCTGAAAGTTAGACCATCTCCCGGCGACACCAGCACACAGCAAGTCCTGTCACCGGAGCCCAGATCTTCTTCACAGTCCTTCGTGCTTCGGCGCTAATTGAAACCACAGCGCAGGAGACAGCCAAGGAAAGTCGCCAGCATGTTAGTGTAGAGACAACAGATGAACGCGGAAAAGCCGAGGGGGCATCATACTGTGAGTAGACGGCAGGAGGCACCTTAAGAATGAAAAAGAAGCCACTTCTGAGGAAGACCATGCGGCCGTGAAACAGGCCAGGCGGCGAGGGAGACTTCTCAGAGGAGGACAGGACTTCAGAAAGTAACGGCACAGCGCCTGCAATTAATAAAATTTGTAAATCGTGTTCTGTACATAATCAGATTCTTCTGGAAACTTGAATTTAAAAATATCAGTATGGAGACTAGCTGAGGAATGATTTTAAAAATAAAATCAGAAGATCAAACTCACAGCTCTTTCATGTGGTTAATACATTTCTCAGAAATAGAAGACAGAGAAAATGAAGGGAAAAACCCCCACCAAATTATCAAAAACATGGTGAAATTCTTCTAGAATTCAAAGTCATGAGTGCCCAATTTCTTATGTCCCTTCTTGCAGTTTTAGGGGAATATCATAGTCAACAGACACAAAGTTCAACTCTTGAGTGTCTCATCTAGGCTGTTTCCTGCCTCAGTCAATAGCATAGAAACCAGAAACTAGCCCCACCCCCTCCAAGGCTCCCAGCATCCTTTGCCAGCATCCCAGCGGTGGCCATTTATCTCCTCTTCACAGAAACTACCCCTGAAAGACAGAGTTGAACACACTTCACATCTCACACTTTAAACTCTGAGTGGCTTTCAGGGCATCTGGGGAAGACTCTTAAAGGTCTGAGTGATCTGATCACTCGGACATCTAGCTTTATACTGTATTGTGGTCCTCTCAGGTCTCTACCCAGATGCATTATCTCCCTCTCCGTTGCCCTGACTGCTCATCACCTAGGAAACCACTGGTTTCCAATACAGAATTCTGGAATGCTTAGACTCACACAGACCTGGGCACAAACCCAACATGCTTGAGCACAGTGCAACTCTCTGAAGACCAATTTCCTTATCAGTAGATGGCTGACAATTATGCTTACCAGTGAGGTGAGATTTTTTTAAATCAGGACTGACAAGAAAATTACAATAAAGAACTCATCATGGTGCTTGACACAAAATAAGAAGCCAGAAAATTTTAGCTATTCAGTACTATGCAAAGTACCACCCACATATCCGTCTTTCCAATAGTAATTGGCCATGCATGTCATTTGTTAATTGATCTGAACCTTTACAAGCTCTATTTACATCTTTAGTTTGTATAATTCTTCAGGATAGTAACTTTTATAACTTTATTGCCTTTAGTGCAAACAAAATAGGTTGAGTGATACCAGAGATGTGTTAGAGCTGGTTCAACCCAGTTTGCAAGAATTTCAGGATTTCAGAGGGTCAACTGTTTAGGATTTCAGTGGGTCAATTGTTGAACATGCCTTCTATTAAAAAAAAAAAAAAAGTACAAAACCTGGGAAAAGGCTCAGAGACTGCAAAGTGCTTATTATGTAAGCATGGAGACCTAGGTTCAGATCTCCAGTACCGTTATAAAAATTCAGGCATGGATGCATGGTCTGTACTTTTAGCACTGAGGGGATTGGGGGGCGGGGGGAGACAGGTGGCTGCCTAGAGCTCTCTGGCCAACCAGCCTAGCCAAACCAGTGAGCTCCAAGATCAGTGAGAGACTCTGCCTCAAAAATTGAAGGGAAGACCGATTAAGGAGGACACCCGACATGGACCTCTGGCCGTCACATGTGTAGACATATGCACATACATGCACACACATATACGTATGCATACACACACATAGAACGAGGCAGACGTGAGGAGACCGAATGGTAGAAATGTGCTATTAGTGGAATTAAAGGGGATGATTGTGTCGTGACTTAAATGTGAACTGTCCTGCATAGCCTCATGTATGTAGATACTCGGTGGTAAGGTTTTGGAAGGTTCTGGATACTTTAAGAGGGAGAGCTTGTCAGAGGAGGTGGGTCACTGAAGGCAGGTCTTGAGAGCCAGGTCCGTCTCTTCTGCTCTCTGCTTCCTGACTTCAGGTACAGTGTGACCAGCTTTCTCATACGTCTGTGGCCATGCCTTCACTGTCATGATGGCCAGCATTGCCCTTAAGCGAGGAGCCGAAATCAACCCCGTCCCTGGAGTTGCTTCTTGTCAGGCATTTGCTCGCCGCCACAAACAAGTAACTAAGTCATTAAGTCATTTGAATAACGATTCAAAATGCTTCGCTTCCCAATTCTTTTCCATTACCCCTGCTCTTATAAACAAGAGGCACAATTGTTTACGACTATTAGACCTGGTTTTGAAATGTTCTGCAGTATTTCTCCACGCATGATCTCTTCCCACTTCTACATCCAGTGACGTCACCTTGTGTTTAAAACTGGCCACAGTGAGAGTATTTATTCTATGAAAACCAGCAGTTGCTTATAAACCACTGCTTCCACCCCTCCCAAGAGAACTGGGTTGTAAATACCTAGCAGTGTGCCAGTTAGTAAAACCCATTATGTGGCCATCAGACACAGATAAAGACCAAAATAAATGACAGAAATCTCTTAGCAAAGTCAATAGCTCTTGTAAAGTCCTTTATTAGAGAATCTTTTCCTCTGCTCTATTCATGAATTCTCTACATGTCCCCTTAGGGGAGGGCACATGGATTCTCTGGATGTCCCCTTAGGGGAGGGTACATGGATTCTCTAGATGTCCCCTTAGGGGAGGATACATGGATTCTCTGGATATCCCCTTAGGGAAGGGTACATGGATTCTCTGGATGTCCCCTTAGGGGAGGGTACATGGATTCTCTGGATGTCCCCTTAGGGGAGGGTACATGAATTCTCTACATGTCCCCTTCGGGGAGGGTACATGGATTCTCTAGATGTCCCCTTAGAGGAGGGTACATGGATTCTCTGGATGTCCCCTTAGAGGAGGGTACTGACTTTAAATTTATATACAATTCTTGTTAAGTTTGGCTCTCAGTTGTGTTGGTCTATAGAAACAAGTGAGGACATTTTTCTGAGGAAGACACGGCCAAGAGCTTGACAGTCAACAGTCTGATGACAAAGCAGGACAAATAAAAACAGCGAAAACCTAGACAGGGACAATCTGATTCCAGCAGTTGAGGATGCTAATAGAGACAACCCCCTGAGAAGTGAGGTAGCATGTTGTGGAAGAAGGATAGGAACGGTCCCAGAAGTGACCTAGAACCACCAAAAGGAAAACCTCCTGTCTTCTGTAAACTACATAAGAAACAAGATGTGCATGTTGTTGTAGGCACTGAAGATATCTAAAATGCTTCTCAGCAAACATTCCCGAGAAAACTGGCTATCCACATGCAAAAGATTAGAGCTGGACACGCAGAGCATATTTAAGAACTCTCAGAATTCACCAAAGACTTACATGTAGGAACAAAAGCTGTAAAACTCAAGAAAAAACAAAGGGATGGTTCATGAGACTGGACTTGCCTTTTGTTCTTAACGATAGGAACAGCACAAGCAACAACCACAAAGTAGTGAACTGAACGTCATCAAAATTAAAAACTTTGGTGTATCTAGGGACATCTTCAAAGAAGCGTAAAGGGCAATCAACCAATGCAATGGGGGAAATATTTACAAGCCATACATCTGATGACAGTGTAAATATTGGAGTTTTGAGCAATGGCTCAGCACCTCAGAGCATTTACTGCTCCTGAGGAAGACCTGAGTCTGATTTCTAACACCCACATAAGGTGGCTTATAACCACCTGTAACTCCAGTTTCAGGAGGATCCAATGCCCTCTGGCCTCCTCAGGCACCTGCACTTATGTGGTTCACATAAATACACAAGCACAAATACATACAGATTAAAAAAATCCAGCAAAATCTCAACAAGAGTGTATTATTTGCAGGTTATTTGTCTGATTAAAGACAATACCATTTCACACACAGTTAGGATAGCTATAACAAAACAAAACGGAAAAGAGCCAACACTGCTGGGAATGTAGAGAAGCCGGAACCCCTGCACCTTGCTGCTGGTGATGTAAAATGCCTGCTGGGAGACGTGGCAGTTCTTCAAAACCATTGCACACAGTATTTCTGCATGAAGTGGCAGTTCACTTCTGCATCCTAGGAATGAGAGCAGGATTTGAACAGGTATAGGTGATGCGTATTCACACCATCTTTACTCATGACAGACAAAAAGTGGAAATACCCCAAATATCCATGGTTGAACAGATAAACAAAAAGAAGGCCATCCTGATGGCCGCTGCGAACACCGATGCACCTTGAAAACACCTTGCTAAGTGAAATAAGCCACTAAAGGTGGATATGTGATCATATTTGCAGGAGGTGATAAAATAGTCAAATTCCTGGGCAAAGGGTAGAGTGGTGGGTACCAACAGCTGGGGAGAGGGCAGGCAAGGAGTCATGGATCACTTAGTAGGTACTGTCTAGGCTTTTGGAATATTCTAGAGCTGATAGTGGTAAGAACTGTGAATATTTTTTAATTGAAAATACAATTTTCATATAATATATTCTGACCATGTCTTCCCTCACCTTCTTCCAAATCCTCCCTACTTCTCCATCCTTTTAATTCCTCATCTTCACGCTCTCACACTTCACAAAAAAAGAAACCAAAATAAAACAAAAAATAAAAGCAAGAGAAACACAACACACACACCATAAAAACAAAATCTGAAACCATAATATACAAAAGACCAATAAACCTGTGCATATCTTGTACACGCTGCCAGTCTCTGAGTTCATATGTGCATCAGTACTGTTGTGTCTGGAAGACACTGTTTCCTTGGTGTTATCTATCACCTCTTGTTGTGGAATATTGTTTAAACTAGGTAAAGATGTGTTACATTTGTTTGTGCTGCATGTGTTTAACAATGTAAGGATGTGTGTTAATGGTGTAAAGATGTGTGTTTAACTATGTAAAGATGTGCTGCATTTGTTTCACCTTGCCTGCCTAAGGCACCTGATTGGTCTAATAAAGAGCTGAACGGCAGAGGAAGGATAGGTGGAGCTGGCAGGCAGAGAGAAAAAAACAGAGAGAAAACTAGATTCAGAAGAGGAAGGGGAGCCGAGAAGGAGAAGAGAACAAGGGAGAAAGAGAGAAGCCAGGCAGCCGCCAGACAGACAGACGCCAGAAGCAGTAAAAGTAAGACATACAGAAAGAAGGAAAGAAAGGTAAACAGCCCGGAGGCAAAACATAGATAAAGAGAAACAGGTTAATTTAAGTTAAAAGAGTTACCCAGAAATGAGCCTGAGCTCAGTCGAGCATTCATAACTAATAAGTCTCTCTGTCATGATTTGGGAGCTGGTTGGTGGCCCAAAAGAAAAAGCCTGCTACACCCTCTGGCTCTTATAATCTGTCTCCTCCTCTTCCACAGAGTTCTCTGAGGCCTGGGGGGAGGGTTTGATGAAAACATCCCATTTAGGACTGTAGCTGGAGAGCTTCTCTCCAGGTCCCACCAAGCCCTGGCAGTCTGACAACCCACTTATAAAATAAACACACAGACGCTTACATTATTTACAAACTGTATGGCTGTGGCAGGCTTCTTGCTAACTGTTCTTATAGCTTAAATTAATCCATCTCCATAAATCTATACCTTGCCACGTGGCTCATGGCATACCAGTGTCTTCACATGCTGCTTGTCATGGTGGCGGCTGGCAGTGACTCCTTCCGCCTTCCTGTTTTCTCTGTTCTCCTCTGTTAGTCCCGCCTATACTTCCTGCCTGGCCACTGGCCAATCAGTGTTTTATTTATTGACCAATCAGAGCAATTTGACATGCAGACCATCCCACAGCAAAGGACTGAGTTTTCCAAGATCTCTCACTCTGAACATGTCCAGTTGTGGGTCTCTGTATTTGTTCCCATCTACTGCAGGCAGAAGCTTCTGTGATGATGGCTGAGGGTGACACTCATCTGTGAGTAGAGCAGAATGTTGTTAGGAGTTCCAAAGTGAATATTCTTAGTACAGCTCATAAAATAACCAAAATAGCAACTTTCATATTGTGTATGTTTGACTTTCATTTAACATGTTTTATAAAGGTTTAGACATGGCT